ATAATTAGAAGAAAGTCGAGAGAAATATGAATCAAAATTTATTTCTGGCAATCTTTAAAACTTGCAGTTTTTACCGAAGATATTTAATCATTTTCTTTATCTAAAATTTTATTTTATTGGTTTGGACATTCCTGTTGCAACTTCAATTACAAATGTTTTCAGCTGAATAAATCATTTCAATTCTAATTTTAAAAATATTAATGAGTTTTCAATTCTATGAGTATCAGATTTAATAACATTTCAGTACTACTTTTTGCTTTCATTTATGGATTTTTAATAACTACATTTTTTTAGGATGGGGGTGTCCATTTACATTAGTTGGCTTTTGATATTAGTCATAATGTTTATCAATCACATCGCACATCCGTATCAATTATAAATAACATTGGCAGTTCTAATTATTCATACGTTAATAAAGCAACGAAAGAAAATTTCCGAAAAAAAAAAGACTAATTACGGCGATTCAACGCATAGAAAGTATTGTCATTTATGAAAAAAAAATGTATGCTCTCGTGCAAAAACAATGTATATCAAAGAGAAAAGCATAAATTAAAAATTAATTTAAATAACATCACCCCAAGAAAAAAGAAAGGCAAATAGTACAAAATAATAAAAGTGAATTCGTCAAATAAGCCACCAGCAAGGACTGTACACTCGACCCCTGGTTTACGAGACCTGTGCTCCAGCCACAAAGCTATAATGGTACGCAGTACTCTAAAGAGATTGTTGGACTGATGATTGTGTCTCACTCTAAAGTCTGAATAAATAAAAGCGCTGTCGATTATAACAAAATTGAATTCGTCAAATACGCCACCAGTGAGAACTGAACTCGCGACCCCCGACTTACAAGTCCAGTGTTCTAACCACTGAGTTATAGTGGCACGCAGGACTCTAAGCAGATTGTTGAGCTGATGACTTTGTTTCACTCTAAAGACTTATTACATAGAAGAGCTGTCGACTATAACAAGATTGATTGAGCTATGGTGGCACACAGAGCTCTAGAAAGATTTTTGGGCTGAAGACTGAGCTATGGTGGCACACAGAGCTCTAGAAAGATTTTTGGGCTGAAGACTGTGTTTCACTCAAACACTTATTACATAGAAGTTCTGTCGGTTATAAAAAAAATTAAATTCTTCAAGTAAGACACCAGTGAGGATTGAACTTACGACCCGTGGTGTAGAAGACCAGTGCTCTAACCACAGAGCTATGGTGACACGCAGGACTGAAAACAGATTGTTGAGCTGTTGACTGAAAATACCTCTAAAGACTTATGACACAGAAACGCTGTCGACAATAACAAAATTGAATTCGTCAAATAAGCCAGCAGTGAGGATAGAACTCACGACCCCTGGATTACAAGACCAGCGCTCTAACCACTGAGCTATGGTGGCACACATTGCTCTAAAGAGATTGTTCCGCTGAAGATTGTGTCTCACTCTGAAGTCTTATTATATAGAAGCGCTGTCGATTATTAAAAAATTAGATTTTTTCAAATAAGCCACAAGTGTGGATTGAACTCACGACTCCTAGTCTACATGAGCAGTGCTCTAACCACTGTGCTATGGTTTCACGCAGTAATCGAAAGATATTGTTGAGCTGTTGACTGAAATTTACTCTAAAGTCTTATTACATAGAAACGGTGTCGACAATAACAAAATTGAATTCGTCAAATGAGCCACCAGTGAGTATTGAACTCACGACCTCTGGTTTACAAGACCAGTGCTCTAACCACTGAGCTATGGTGGCACACAGTGCTCTAGAAAAATTGTTCCGCTGAAGATTGTGTCTCACTCTGAAGTCTTATTACATAGAAGCGCTGTCGATTATAAAAAAAATTTAATTTTTTCAATTAGGCCACCAGTGAGTATTGCACCCACGACCACTGGTTTGCAAGACCAGTGCTCTAACCACTGAGCTATGGTGGCACACATTGCTCTAAAGAGATTGTTCCGCTGAAGATTGTGTCTCACTCTGAAGTCTTATTACATAGAAGCGCTGTCGATTATAAAAGAAATTGATTTCTTCCATTAAGCCACCAGAGAGGATTGAACTGACGACCCCCGGTTTACAAGACCAGTGCTCTAAA